ATATATACATATATGTATATATATATATATATATATATATATATATCTTGTATGTTTTCTAACCCAAGAGAAACCTTGCATGAATAAGTTCATGGAACTTGGAGGACGTACGAGAAAGGAAAGAGATTAACATTATAAAAAAGTGTTTGTGGAGGTAAACTTCAACTATCCCCACTTCATCTACATAAGTGTTAACGTTCCTTCCTTTACTTAAGTAATGAATTTTAGTTTATTTCTACAACGCATTATAGCGTCATATTTGACTTACATAACTATCAATCTTACTGTATCCTTTACTTGTTCAATGACTAAAATTTCTAAATAACGAGAGGCTTAGGTAAACTCTGAGTAATTCCATTGTAATATTTCGAAATAACACTATTGTCATTAAACTTTCATTCAACTCAATTTTTTACAGGAAACTCTTAGATTGAATCTGAGTTGAGATGACTCAATTTGAAATCAAATAGACATCAAGACAAGTTGAAATAAATAATTTTAAGTTCTATCGGAGGTAGATTGCTTAAACTCAACTCAATATTAATCAAAAGGTAGAGAGATTGTTTATTGTATTTTCAAATTCCAAAGAATGATGTTTTGACTTGAACCATCTATTTCCAAGCCTACTAATCATTTATGACGAATATTTAGCCTCCAATCCAGTCTTCAAAAGTCTGCATAGCCTTTTCAACTAGAAACATGAGCACTCCAATATAGCAATTTGCAGATAATATCAAAGTCATTAAAAAAAGACAAATGTTAATTTTATGCACTCACATTCCGCTCGTTACCAATTTCCCCAAATTATATTTTCATTTAAAAGAATCTCTTTAGCTCCACAAATTACTTAGCTAATTTACATATTTTATGTAAATGCTACCGTATTTTAGTTATTCTAAATATTTACATTTGCAAGTAATCACAATTCCTATGCCATGTATAATACTTCTAAGATTTATCTCATTCTCTTAATGCAGTATTATTCATATAATCTAAACTGTAAAGCATTCCTCGAGTTTTTAAATCTGTTAGTGATAAGTGATGTGTCGCTTATCTGTGATTGTTCGGTGAATTCCCTATTCTGCAACTCTTTCTTCTATAACTGTTAGATTTGGTGGTAATAATTTTGTTTTGGGCTTTGCAGCCTTCATCTGAACACCTATTTGAAGGACTAGCGACCTTACTTCACCATTGTTGTGGTTTAAAGATAGCAATATATGGGTGCTCAAATATTGTCATTTGCAGCTTTCTAGTCTTTAGCAGCCAAGTAAATATTTCTCTTATTTAGATTTTAGGCAACCAAAATTTTGACGGGTAAGTTAAAAGGAATTTTGTAACTTTAAATTGGAATCTTAGAATTGCTCAAAACCTAAAGAATTCTTCTAAATAAAGTTCAAGCTTGATGTGCTATTTCTTCTTATTAAGGGAGTAAAATCATGGATCAGGTGAGAGACTTGAGCGAGCACGGGGCTTTATTTTATTATTTTGATGATGATGGCTTCTTTCCAACATTTTAGTCATTGTTCTCAATTGCATTATTGGGTTGATTGTACAATTAGTTTTACTCAAATTCATAAAATTTAGTGTTCAATAGGTTCGTGGTTTTCAACCCTTCATTTGGCTTCCTTGGTTCCGCACATCTATTTATTAGTTCTAATGAATGGTCATTGTTGTTTCAATTGAATTGATTTCTTCTAAATTTTAATTTTCCTGGAACATAAAAAAGTAGCTGTTAAAAATTAAATATTTGTTACATACAAAATTTTATGTACATGTTGCATGACTTTCTGCATTAGATCCACATTCAAAATAAACCCTGAGACACATAACATGTCATATAAAAGCCCTAAAATTTGAACAAGAAAATTTGAAAGATATAAATTTTATTTTGTATATATTCAGAGTATGTAAACTTTAAATCAAAGAAATTTCAAACCACAAAACAACTTACTTGGATTACAAATAAGGAAAGGATAGTCCAAAAAGGAAAATAAACTCTTCAAACAATGTTACAATGTGACAACTTCGAGCAAGTTTGATTGGAGATATAATAATTCAATGCCACAATTAGCACACGTCACTTGAAAAACTGTCAAGCCAAGCTAAAAGTCAAATAATCAATTTGCATATCAAATTGGTGTACAATATTGCCAAATGTCTATAATGAAGTAAAAGATAGTTGACTATAGAATTTTAAGCAAGGCATCTTAGGGTCCAGGATTTCCTAATGAGAATCTAGAATGAAACACAAACTCATGCACATAATTAAAGTAGCACTTAACAAACTCAGAGTTTCTACAACTGGCACCCCATTGGATGTAAACCAAAATATGAAGGAAAAAACCTAATAAGTGACAATTTAACCATCATTTAACAACAAAGTTCTATAGAAATTAAGAATCATAAAAACTCACAAGCTTGATTAGAAACACATACAACAATAAAAAAAAATTCAAACTACTGAATTTCAAATAATCAAGTACACATGCAAACTAAACACTAATTTTAGAAAATAACAAAGAAAAAGTCAGTCATCAAATAAAAATTCAAGCCTCAAACCTATGTAAACAGATGGCCTCTCCTGAAAGTTATAGTTCCCAATTGCACCATAATAGAAAAAATTACATCTAGCATACATTCAATCAAATAGGGGAACCCTATAGCTCAAAAGTGAAATATCAATGGAAGTATTCTGCATACCTTAAATATACCTCTATCTAAAATCACATAGTTCCTCCTTGGCTCAACTGGTTCACAGCTTAAATCCTGTGGATAAATCTCGCGGAAGCTACAACACAGAATTATCTGAAGAAACACTCAGACAAACAGCCATGAATAGGGACATAGCGTTGCAATGAATGGCTTGGATAATGCCATAAAGGCCTGAGTCATGATCCCAAAAGTCCCAATATAGAAGAAATCACAGCCCAACAACCAAAACTGACTGATGTTTTAAGGCCCAAGACCGACATAGAACCAGCACAGGGATTAGAAAAGTTCACTCATAGATAAGCTTCTGCCAAAATAAACAAATAAATAGGGAAAAAAATCCTGAACTAAAACAACTAATGTAAAATCAAAGTGTACTTCGTTAATTTTCCATCTCAATGCTCACATCCTACGTTTCTAACAACCATAAATTTTAATTTTTGCAATATTTGCATCACAGCAAAATTAGAATACAATAGATTAGTATGCAAAAACAGAAAAAAAAAAGAAAAAAAAAAGCTAAATGACAAAATGGACGCACCATAATGCAACCTACAGAGAACCCAAAAGGTGAGGCCTCCTCCGACAGAGAATACCCCCGCCGTGTGTCTCATGAGTCGGGTGCAGGGCTTTGCATCTGACCTCATCAATTCTCCATCAGACCACCCAAGCATCTGCCTCAAAGCCATTGTAATTTAAGCTATCACGAAATGAATGTTAATTAAAGGACTTTGATATCCACTCAACCTGCAAATATTGTTAGAGAATACTGTATTAGAAAGTCTAAAAATCCTAGCACAAAGAAAAAAAAAATTTAAATGTCATATATCATGTTTATTTACTTTCTAATTAAACCATTAGAAGAATGAGTTTTAGAGTAACAATTTAACATATGAAGATATTATTTTGAATAATAACATTACATCAAAATAAGTAATTTTTTTTTTTTAAATAAAGCATTGCTCATATGTCATTAGGTAAGATGCATTTTTAATATATGCATAAAGAGCATATAATCGCAAGCATGAGAGTCTATGTATGTTTGTGTAGAATTACAATAACCCTTATTAATCTATAAAAGAGCATATCCAGTACATAAAGTTCCCACTAATGCAAGATTTGAGAAGAGATTGATGTGCACTGCCCTACCCTTTTGAATAATAACATTACATCTTTATTTTTAAAATAAAGCATTGTTCATGTGTCATTAGGTAACAAGCATTTTTGCTATATGCATAAAGAGTGTATAATTGTAAGCATGAGTCTATGTATGTTTGGGTAGAATTACAATAACTAAATCTATAAAAGAGCATATCCAGTACATAAACCTCCCACTAATGCAAGATTTGAGAAGAGATTAATGTGCACTGACCTTCTCTTGCATTTGCAAGGTTATATCCACGAAAACTTAATTAAAAATATGTAAACTATTATCATAAGAAACTGTCAAGGACGGTTCTCTATTTTTAGTAAATGGATTTGGTTAGGACCTAAAATACTGTCAAGGAAAGTTCTCTATTATTGTTCTCTACACCAGCAACCGACAATTTCAACCTCTAACTGCCCTTGATAATAATTATCGGCCACCCAAAACTTGTCGACCTGTTCAAAAGCTGCGCCTCACCCTACCTCATCGTCCCCTCAACTTTGAACTTGTTGCAACAGCGTCATCCGACGAGCACTTCAGTAACATTGCACCCAACTCTGGTTTACTCCCAATAACCTTGTCGGCTATCCCTACTTCACCTTACACATCATTTACCATAGCTTCCGACATTGGAAATAACCTCAACCCATCACTCATCTCATTCCTCAAGCTAGCTAACCAACTCCGGCACACTCGACACCAACTTAGCCTTATTGACAACAATTGCTAGCAACCGACTCCAGTGAACATTGAACATCTCTCTATCCCTATAAGCATATATTTTGTATGTGTGGTGGTGGAGCGTGGGTTAGAGAAAAGAAAATTGAAAAAAAGAGAAGAATAAAGAAAGGAGAGGAAAACTGATAATAATAATATCAACAAGAACAACAATAATAAAAGATGAGTGACAGAAGTAGTGTGAATTTTGTCATCGTTGTAATCCCGGTTTCTTGCAATAGCATCTCAAATTTATCTACAACAGCATCTCAAATTCATCTGCAACAATAATTGGCTCACTTTGGTATTGTCTAAAATAACAATGTATGTGAATATATAATATTGTGTTTTTCATGTTAGTACCTGAAGCCCTATGGATGCCTTTTTAAGCATAGCAGTCTTAAAGATCTTTATTTGTGGCGTTGCATGGCATCAATCATACACGCTTCTTTATGGGCAAACCAAGTGTTTCCCCCAATAGTCTCGATGCGGAGAATCCATTGGAATGTTGTAAACGACTTATCATAATAAACAATGGACTAAAATGAAAATAAAAATACTCCCTAACAACAAATGAAGTTGGAAAGTGTGTCGCAATGAATGAACTAAATTCAGCATAAGTTGGACAGGATTAAATCTATTTAAGTTGCGGATTTGAGCAGGATTTGGACAGGATTTAAGCATTATTTAACCTAAATCCCGCCAAAAGGCAAAAATTACAACTTTAATGAAAGGTAGATTTACGGGATTTAGAGAAGCTGAAGCGCGCCAAGGTGGCGGGAGGAAGGAAGAGAAGACAAGGTTTAGTCGGTAGGAACGGAGTGAAAAGGGCAGATATACCGGAGTTTCGGAGGTTTTGTACGCCGCGATCCCGTCGTCGCCTTCCCAGTTAGCTGCAGCGACTGTGCCGCGAGGGTTTCAGGCTAGAGGCGCGAGAGGGAAGATAGGCGATGATGGACAAATCGAAATGAATTAAATTTAAATAGAATCTAAATTATTTGTTAATATTTGTGAACAAATTCATTTATGTAAGAAATAGTTTATTATATAATGTATTATTTAAATAAAATTTAATTAATAAGTATTTATTTAATAATATATTTAATATTAGTATATTATAATTTAGTATTAATATGCACATAAATTTAATAGATTTTTTATATATTTTTTTATTTCAATAAATTTGTTTGTTAATACTAATTTATGTTATTTGATTGAAAAAAATATTTATAATTTATTATTTTATTTATTTAATATAAAATAGTTAGATGCTAATTTAAAATGTATTGAAGTGCTTATTAACTTAGATTCTTAAAATCATTTATTAATAAATTTGATTAAAAAAATCAAATATGCATTTAGATTTTTAATTTATTTATTAAACTATATGAAAAATCATGTACAATCAAGTTTTTAATTTTATATGAAAAACTAAGTACTCATTTGAATTTTTTATTTTTAACTAATATAAGTTAGTCAAATATAAATCAAATATGAATATTAAAACTTTTAAGCAAGCTAAGTACTAACATATATGTGAAAGTTGTCTCAAACGCGAACTAAAGATAAATAACATATCATTCGACCAAGTTAAGTCTAAACTGGAGCAAACTCGGCGTGATTATACCAGACTTGTTTCCCGCCCTACGTAGTAGTCAAGGTTTGCGAGCAGGAGAGTAGGTTTAGCAATTAAATATATTTTTTAAGTTAATTTTATTGATTAATATATAATAATTAATAAATTGTAATTATAAAAAAAATTTAACTATTTTATAATGAATTAATAAAAATTAAATTATAAATTAAATTTTGATTTATTTTAAGAACTTTTAATTAATCATTAATTGGTCTGAATAAATAATCAATCAATGTTAATTAATAAAAAAATGTATTTTTTGATAAATAATTAATTTTATAAATTCTTATTAATGAGTAATTAGTTCAATAAATAGTTTATTTTTAATTAACATAATTAGAAATAAATTTAAATAAAATTTATTTAGACATAATAATTATATCATTAATACCTAATATTAAATTTATATTTCAACTAAGGGACTTAAAATTTAAAGCGTTACACAATTTCACCGGATTTAACAGAATTTAGCATATATCACACTAAACATTTTAAAGGATTTAAAGTTTGTTAGTTCATTATGAGCA